ATTTAAGGTTGCAGAAAGAGAAGGGAAGAAGAATGGGTCCAGATTCAGATTAATTGATGTGACACAGGCTATGTTGTTGAGGCCAGATGGGCACCCCAGTAGATATGGGCATTGGCCAAATGAGAATGTAGTCATGTATAATGATTGCGTGCATTGGTGTTTACCTGGACCTGTTGATTCTTGGAATGATTTCTTGCTTCATTTGTTGAAGATGGAGCGCAGGAGATCCCACAGGGAGAGAACATCTCTACCTTAACCAAAAATGTGAATCTTTTTCTATTTTTTTCAATATTTTTAAGTATATTCTTCTAAGGAATATTGGCTATATTTGCACTGTATTTAACAGAGCAAAGGTTTTGAAAATTGAATGAATGTTATCGTCTCTCAATTGGCAATCAAGCATTCTCTCTAAACAATTTTCCTATAGTCTCTTTTGTTTTCTTTAGTAACTTTAAGGTCGTGGGTTCTAAGAACTCAAATAGGCCCAATCCTATGACAAATAGCAATTATAAGCTCTTCACACAGGACTCCTTCCATATAATTAAGGAAGCCACTGAAAAGTGATCAAAACCCTAAATAAGACGATCATACATAAGTGAACACACTTTCGGGTCATCTTTCTATTGTCTCATAGTTTTGAAGTTTTTACTATGACTTAGGCTTCAATCTTCCTGTGTCATCAAAGCCCGAAAACTATAAACCAGTTCACGGTTTACTGGTCACAAGAAGATGCTGCATACATATCATTTTTAGAATGAATAATGATTCATTATTAGTTGTGATTATCACTGGTTTAGGTGATAGTGAGTCTCGTGATTTATTTTTCAATGAAATTGTGATGATAATTACTATAAATAATATAACTCATGTTAGAAATTCTTTTTGAACTTATATTAGTTTAACTCATTACACCATGACTTTGTGAATTGGTGTAAAAATAAAATAAAATAAAATAAATGCAAGTACATGACATAAGGAGTTGACTAATATTTTTCCACTATTTCAACAAAAGAAAAAGGGGTAAAAAAAAATGTACTCTCTGTATTTTATGCCTAGATGATCTCTCTATTTTTTCTCTTGTTTTACTATCTACAAAATACTATTTTTTTTTTTTTACAATTCGTATTAAGCTAAATTTTACATTTAAATTAAGTCTTCAACCATCTTTGCATTCTATTTAAATTCTACGCACAACAAGACTTTAGGACCTGTTTGATAGACAGTTTTTTCCTTGAAAGATAGAAAATAAGTTTCATTTCTCACTTTTTGACATGTTTGATAGGTTAAATTTTCCAGTCAAAACATTTTCTCATTTAACCCTCACGTGACCTGATTTCCACCAAATTGAGCAAAACATTTTCTCTCGTTTAAGCAGGGCATCGATTTTCCCTGAAAGNCATTTAACCCTCACGTGACCTATTTCCACCAAATTGAGCAAAACATTTTCTCTCGTTTCAGCTGGGAATCGATTTTCCCTGGAAGAAGGAAATCCACCTGTGGATTTTCTCTCCCGCAAGCGACGCCCGTTGCGTGGCTGGCGTTTGGGTCTTCCACCACCTCCAGACGACGGCAATGGAGGAGAATACCCTCCTATGGGTCAAGAAGGGGGGAAGGTGAAACCCAGAATTTTCAACGTCTTCTTAGCTGGGAATCTACTTCTTCGACGTTTTCTTAGTTGGGAATTTTCGGCATCTTCTTAGCTAGGAATTTTCGGTGTAACCCAAAATTTTCGAAATCTCGTTTCTTAGCTGGGAATCGACGTCTTCTTCAGCTGGGAATCGATTCTTCAGATGAAGCGTCGTCTTCTTCAGTACCGAATTCCGGAGCCATTTCTCGTTCACGAATTCCCACGTGTTGGGACGGTGGGAGAGTTAGTCGGAGGTGGGATTGATG